CTTCTAAAAGATTATAAAACCTTACAACATCTCCATTAGATTCTTATTCATCTTCAAAATCACGAAAAGTTCTAAAATTAGGACCAACAACATCATAAATCATTTATTGATAACGGTCATTTCTTTCTTCTCAACTCACATTACCTACATTTTCATCTAATTGTGATGTATTTGAGCTACTTCAAACATAACTCATTCCAAATTAATTTTCCACATTAATTACTTCCTCATGTTCAATCCATATTAAAAAAAATTAATTTTTCTAATAAATTAGTCACTTTTTATGTTCAAACATATTAATTTCTCTTGTATCAATATCAAGTTTCTCTATGTAAATATCTTTAAGTTTTCTATCATTACATTGTAATATAACTACATCACATTAATTCTAGAACTTCACGACCGTTCAGCATCAACAATGTTAATTTCATCTATAATAAGTCAAATATATTTCTAAGTTTCTAACAAACATTCTTCATTATGATTTGATACCACATCAAATATATTTTAGGTAATCATTTCAAGCCACATTTCTTATCATACAACATCAAAATAGTGTCATGTCTATTCTTAAAATGCATAAAACACAACTTTACTCATTGAGAAACATAGTGGTCAAATTTGCATCCAATGAAAATACAAGTATACAACTAATCTTATCATTTTTAACCATGTCCAAGCAAGACAAATAAATAATTATTTTAAAATTAATAAGTTCATGAAAAGAAATTTTTTGACAATCATTAATATTCACTTGGAAAATCCTATCCCTAACCTTCATAAAAATCATTTAAAATTAATACCCAAAATTTCTTAGACAATTCAAGGAAGAAACCATTCAACAATATGCTAAGAACTACAAAACATGAAATAAAATCCTTTACTAAAGATGAGTAATTCAAAATTTTTCTTGAAATTTTTATTTGGTTCACCAAGTTTCAATATCATCTAAAAGAATAAGTTCTTTACATGGGATATAAGAAAATCAAGAAGAAAAAGGTGAGAAGATAATGAGATCTCATTGATTGAAATCGTATGTTGGCAAATATTATACAATTTTAATGCAGTACTAGATAAGTTAACCTATGTCATATTTTTAGAAACAATGATCTCTAAACAATGTATCATGCAAACATTAAAAAGAGAATTAAAGATTGATTGATTATTATTAATTAAAAACTCAAAACAAAATCAATAAATTAATAGTCATAACTAACATATCGTTTCTTTGTTCGATTCAACAACGAAGTTATCATAGATTACGAATTATTAAATTTAAATTTTATTTTTACTTTTAGTTTAATCAAAGATAACTGATTAAACACTAATTAGATTAGAGAAAAATTTTACTACTAATAGTGCACAAAATATTCATTAAATTCACATTAGTGAATCAAGTGTTTCCTACTCATAATTCAATAATCAAATTTTATTAAAGCAGTGAAAGCAATTCAAATGATTCTCAATTTTATTTCTAATTTGCAAAAATAATCATAATTATGATCAAAAGTTCTTATTGATTATGTATTAAAGAAAAAAATAAAATTATAATATCATAAAGTAGACACATTCAAAAGTCATACATAACCTGAAAACAGAATTAAGAATAAGAGATAAAACATATTTAGATTTAGTTAAGAGAAAAATCTCAAACTTCATTTCACTTATTAAAATTGAATCGATGAATCTATCCTTAAGCATTTAGCATTTTATGATTAGATTAAAAATCGTAGAAAAATAAAACATAGGAAAAGACACGAATAACAATAATAAAAATGAGCACTAATTACTTCTGAAATTAAAATTTTAATTCTAAAAAATAGCCAAACTAATTTAAAAATAGTTTAAAAGTATTGAAATAGAAAAAAATTAAGTTATTTATAATAATTCTAATTAGGCCTTCATCGAATAAAGATACATAATTACAAATCATAATGCATTCAAATGAATTTAATTAGACCTAATAAAATTATAATTTAATGAATTTTGTATAGAATAGTAGTTCAATATGTATAGAGAACATTTCTCAACTCTAAAATTTATTTTTTGTAAAATTCTCATTAAATTGAAGTTTTGAAAATGAGATTTTAATGAAACAAAAATCACTTCAAAATTTGATTTGTCACTAAAAATACTACCAAAATAATAAACATAACTCAAATATGTTAAAAATATGAATTTAAAATATTTTTATCATTCAAATCTAATTAAAATCTTCATAATAAATGAAATTAGTTTAAAGTAATTAAATACTAATATAATGTAATTAGGTCATATTACATGTTAATAAATATAATTAAAATGTGATTCATTACTTGCTTAATAAGTTCTATTAGCAAACAAAGTATAATCATCTTAAATAATATTTCAAAACTAAATAATAATTAACCAATGTTTGTAACTATAGTATATCAATTATGTTTAAGAATAAGGTGATTCTCACGAGATTGAATGTTCGACAATAATTTGCAGAACACAAAATTACTTAACTGTTATTGATAAATTTTTTAAGTATTTTACTTTGAACAATTGATTGAAAGATATATTTATAAGGACCAATGCTATGATAAAAGTAAAAAAATAATTTAACAAAAACAAGTGTTCATCGAAGAAATATATTAATTTCTGAAGAAAGCAAAAGTAGAAACAAAAGCACTTTTTATGCTCAATCTTTAACCCCAAAACACCAATATAGCCAGAAAAAAAAAAAACTTTTGAAAAAGCAGAAGACCCTATACGTTTTCAAAAAGAAAATACTTATTTTAAAAAGATCACATTATATGTCTAGATTATCAAATGAATATTCAAGATCAAAAGTCTTTAATTAAAAATTGATTTTTTGGGTGAAGGAGAAAAAGGATAAAAAAGAGAAAAATTTATGTGATAATTATTTTTATTTTAAAAATTTTAAGTGAGAGAAAGAATTTATAAACTTTTTAAAAATTTTGTATTTTTAAAAATTTTATATTAACTCTGATTTTCCTTCTTTTCTTTTTCTTTTTTAACTTTCAAATAATATATATTGTGTCAAATTAAAAATAATTACATAGCATGCTGTTAGTGTTTTTTTTTAATTAAATAATAATGTAAAAATATTAATTACAAGTACAGTGCACGTCATATAATGAGACGAATTCGGACTGTTATTTATTTCAAAAATAATTATATTTTATATAAGTCTTAATTCTTATTTATTGATTAAATTAAAATCAAAAGTATTATTAAATAAGATATGATTAATATAAATAGGCGGCTCCCTGTGAACCGATTGGTGGATGTATTGATGCGATCTACGTAGAAATAAAACATGATAAATTCTATGTACCCTAAATTTTTTTTATAAATATTATACTTAAAAAATTTATACCAATAAAAAAGAGACAAGTTAAAAAAATTATTATATAATTTATTTAAAATTATATTATTTATATTATTTATTGCATAATATTTATATATATATTATATATTTAATTTTTTTTTAAAATTTTAATATATATTTTTATTTATTTATTTATTATATATTTAAAATTAAAAATATAAAAATACATTAATATAATATTATTTTTTTAAAATTTTAATTATTTTAATTTTAATTGTATTTTATTCTTATTAAAAAATTTAACTGCTTATTAACTTGTTTAACTATAATAAATATAATAATTTATTATTAAATAAATTTAATATAAATTATATTTTATTTGAAACTAAAAATTTATAAAAAATATAAAAAATTAAATAATAATAATAAAATTATATAACAAATTATAAATAATATAACTTTAAATAAATTATATATAATAATTTTTTAATTTAATATGTATCTCTTTTTTATTAATTTAAATTTTTAAAAAATAATACCTATAAAAAAATTTTAAGATACTACATCACGTACCATAAAATATATTGTGCGAAATCCAAAATGAGTAGTAACTTCAATGCGGATGATGCTATGTCACGTAGAACTAGCTGCAATAGAGTGTTTCTAACAATGTCTACGTGCACATGTCACTTTCCATTGGACTTTAAAAACGCTTTTATTGACGTCTGCACATGCTCAACCAAGATAACTCACAACTGCCCAAACAAATATATATATATATATAAAAGCATGATTTTTTTAGTATAAATTTAAATTTAAAATTTTTTATATTTAATTTAAATGTTAATAAAATAATAAATTATAACTTATTAAATTTAAATTAAATAAAAAGTTTAGATTAGATATAAGAATTTTTAGACTTACATCAAATCTCAATCGTACAACTCAAATAATCTAACGATTGAAAAGTTACTTTGTTTAATCAAATCAATAAAGTACAAGCGCGTAAAAAAAAATAATTTTTCAACCAATAAATTAATTGATTTGTACAATTGAAATTTGATATAAACCTTAAAAGACTTATACCTGGTGTCAACGTATCCTATCCCTATATATATATATATATATATATATATATATATATATATATATTACTCATTAAAATAATATAGTATATTTAATATTTTTAAATAAATTTATTTAATAAAAAATAACCAATATTATTTAATAAAATAAGATTTGATTATTGTTGATTTATTTAATAAAAGTTTTAATTAATAATTAACTTATTTAATTTCATATTTTTTCTCATTTTATAAAAAAAATATTAAATACTTCATAAAATAATCTAACATATATTAACAAATAAAAATAGTCAAATATTAAGATAATTTTTGTTTATATAATTTATCTAACAAAATTTAATATTCATTATGATACTAATATGTGATTAATAGTATATATTTATTTTACATTAATAAAATTATTTGTTAATATAATATATGTAAAAAAAGTACATATATAAAATAAGAGAAATTTAACGAAATCCGCTACACATTTCGTGTAAATTCCGCAAATATTTTTCTCTCTATATATAGATGGTAGATGCTACACAACCAATTATAACACACTAAGGAAAGACACAAGTTAAAGGAAACAAAACCATACAGCATATATGGATATGGGTTGTAATTATGAAGAAAACCCTCTTTCAAAATGTTCACCTCAACAAGCAGAAGACAATGCATGCCTATCAGCAATGCTACTTAGCTTTAGTCCAATGGTTTATAGTGCAGTATTAAATGCTGCACTTGAGCTGAATTTGTTTCAGATCATAGCAAAAGCAAGCCCACTTTGTGTTTCAGCCTCTGAGATTGCTTCTCAACTTCCCACACAGCACAAAGAATTGCCTCGAAGGCTTGATCGCATGCTATGCCTCCTTGCTAGTCACTCTCTTCTCACATGTTCCACACGCATCAATGAAGATGGTGCCATGGAAAGAGTTTTTGAACTCTCACTTGCTGGCAAGTTCTTTCTCAATGATCAGACCAATGGCTCTGTGGCTTTGTTCTCAACATTTGTCAGTCATCGAACTGTCGCTGATGCATTGTAAGTAAGATTGCTAAATACAACAAAGTTTCAAACAATGCATTATGAGGAATTTTATGCAGAACATAAGATTTTGTAGACATCCAAGGGAGATCATCATGATCAAATCTAATTTCAATGAAATCCATCACGTAGTTAAAGCAGGGAACCAACGTATCTCCCTTATTTAATGTGTTGAAAATACATATTTAAAAAAAATGAAAAAGTAAATCGAACAAATTTCTACACAAACAGGTGCATGTAAATACAATTAACGTTAATTTTAAGAGAAGCCAGTATAACAACCTCTAGCTAGTGACAGTTGGTCATGATAAATTTCATCTTTCGCTTATCAATTTCTGGAATGAGAGTTAATTAACTTGACCAAGTTGTTAATTTTTATGTTAATTAGCCAAAATTTTAAGGAGGTACTTCTAGACTGTGATAAAGGCCTCTACATGAAAGTTCATGGAATGCCTGTTTATCAAGGCATACAGACTTATCCAGCGTGGAATCGTACTTTTAACGAAGCAATGGCCAATATGTGCACAATGGAGATGAGAAAGATACTTGAAACATACCAAGGATTTGAAGGAACACCATTGCTGGTTGATGTAGGAGGTGGAGTTGGGCAAAGTTTGAACATGATAATCTCCAGGTATCCTTCAATAAAGGGTATCAACTTTGATTTGCCACCAGTAATACAACAAGCTCCATCTTATCCAGGTATTTCTCTTCTATTCCATAAATTTATAAAACTTAAATGTAAAGGATGATGAAGATAAAATTAAAAAACTAAAAGTTGAAAACAAAAAATAATAAAGAAATATAATGAAAACTAAAATTTTATTGGATTGAGATTGATTTCTAAATTCAGATTTAAAATAACTTCAACCCATACGAAACCTAATTCTCTATCACACACACAAACAAAAAATTAATACTAAAGGATGATAAGTTTACACGGATGTAACATTTATTACTTTTAGTGTTCAGAACTTTATTTTTTTTATCAATTCAGTCACTGAATCATAATCGTTTGTTGTCCAAATAATTCTTATAAAAATTAAACAAAATAAATGTAATTAAATAATTTTATTTTTCTATATTTTAAAATTATATGTATTTTTAATTAATCTTGACAAATATATTAATAAAAATGTTAAATAATTTAAATTAAAAAAAATTTAGATATAAAATATATAATAAAATTATATAATAATATTTCTTCTTTATAAAATTATCCTTTTTGTTTGCTTTTCCGTAATCATATTTTCTATATTATGTTTTATTTATTTAGTTTTGTTTGAATTTATTAGAATTTATTTTGGCATTTTTTTCATGTTTATATTTGTATTTTATATTGGAAAGCTTAGTAAAGTCACAAAATAAATCATAACATAGGAAAACAAATTACTTTATGACCTAAAAGAATGCTGATTCGGTGTTATACATAGGTTTTCTTTATATAGCAAAAGACTTGTGACTTTGATGTTTTGTTTCAATTTTTGTTATATACATTGTGCATTATAAGGTTTATTTTATTTCCTAAAAGTTGACCCAATAAAAACCGAATTACATTATTTGGAATTTGGTCAATTTAAAACTCCTTTTCTTTACTAAATTATAATCAATCCAAGTTTTTCTGCAAGACGTACCCGTGTTGCGTAGGATCTAGTTGGCAATGTCCTTTTACAATTGATCATAAGCAGCTAGTCACTACATACTAAAGGAAGGCCAATTTGAACTTTTGTTTCTCACGTTGACTTCTTATATATAATGATTAGCGAATTTTCGTTTCCTTGTAGGGATTCAGCATGTTGAAGGAGACATGTTCGAAAGTGTTCCAAAAGGTGATGTCATACTATTGAAGGTAATCGCATTAACTATATCTAAATGTGATTAAATAGATCTAATCATATGTGGTCTCAGTAGCTATTTTTGTGTGATTGATGAATATTTCAGGCCGTATTGCACAATTGGACGGATGAAAATTGTTTGAAAGTTCTAAACAACTGCTACAAAGCTTTGTCACCAAATGGTAAGGTGGTGGTTGTGGACTTGATAGTCCCAGAAACAATTCAGTGCATCGACACTGATAAGATGGTTACTGGCTTCGACAACCTCATGTTTCTCGACGGTGGAAGCGAAAGAACCGAGAAAGAATTTAAGAATTTATGCCAACGTTCTGGATTTTCCAGTTTCCAAGTTGTTTGTCGTGCCTTCACTGCTTTGGGAGTAATGGAATTTTATAAATGAACAGTGTACGGTACTAGCTAATAAGTCTACTCTTGATTGTGTTTTTATTAGGTATAGACGTCTATGTTCAATTAATAAACAATAATAAATGTGGTCTTTGCTTGATGTACTTTTATTACGATATCTAATGAGAATAAATAAAGTGGCGTTATTGTCTTCGAATACGTCATTTTGCATAGATATTGTAATTTGCTTTTGACAGTAAAATGAAATATTATTAGAGTAACTAGAAAGTTGCAAACGTTACATAATTAATTTCATTGCGCAATACAAATTGAAAATTCAACAAAGATAAGCCATCTAAATCAAAATTATCATCTATCTGCCACCACCATATAGTACTAAAAGTTAAAATTGTAAGTCACTGCACGTTTTAGAGATTTTGATTTAGTTTCTCAACTTCTTTTGAAGTGTATAGTTTGTTTTAAGGTGTTTTCTATGATACCTTTATAGAGGGTTTAGAACCTATCCAATTAAAAATTTAACATCTATAAATTACTTATTTAATACAGTCAAACTGAGACATTATAGGATGTTTTCTTTATGTAATTTTTAATTGTTTTAAGCTGAAATATTACAGCAGATTACTTTTGTGTTATTTTTTAAGATTTTTTTAATAAAAATAACATTTTATAAATTTGATAAATATTTTAACAAAATATTTCATTAATATATTATTTATTAGTATATTATTTTACCATAAATAGTGCTTACAGCCCAGATATTTTATGAATCCGCTATAGTTGGCTATACCTCACAAACAAGAACCAAAATCTCATAGCTCAAACAAATCACGGCACCGAGAAAGAAGGGATAAATCGAAAACGCTTTTAATTTTAATTAAAATTAAAAGAATTATATGTTATTTTAATTTATTTTTTTTTTATAACAAAACAGAGAGGTTTAAGGCCCAAAACAAACAACACTTTAGGTAAACAACCTAAGAATGCCCTGGGAACTAGAATCCAAAGAAAGAAAAGGCAAAAGAGAGGGAGGGGACCTCAAACTAAGATAAGGGGTTCAGAGAAACCAATACTAACTTTGCAAGGAAATCAGCATAAATGTTGACTTATTTAAAAACATAAGCAAATCTAACAAAGCTAACAGAATTTAGAGCATTCCTAGTGTTACAAATTAAGGGAAAGAAGGGATGAGAGCAATAGCTTCTTTTGAGTCACTCTCAATCCAAAAGACTTGAGCCTTCACAGAGATAGTCAATTGAATACCCCGAAACATACTCCAAAGTACAACAGTGAGAGGGGAGCAAGGTTGCAAACTACTACAAAAGTCCATTTTAAATTTTCCACAGTTGTCACGAATCAAGCCTCCATAGGCAGACACACCATTGGACCTATAAACAGCCTCATCCACGTTCAACTTAAGCTGGTTTGTAGGAGGAGGAGACCACTTGACCATCCCATAATCAGAAGTTAGACTAGAAAAATTAGAAGAACTGGACTTGTCACACAAAAATAAAAGTAATTAGCATCAGCTAAAGATTTCTGAGCTAAATAACAAACCTAAGCAGATAACTGTTGAAAAATGAATTGATTATGCTCTTTCCAAATATGCCAAACAACAAAGCAAAAAATAAGAGCCCAATTATGAAACATGTTCAAACTAGGATCAGATAATAGAGAGCAGCCAGTTGAAAACACTATTAGAAATGTAACGTCCTGAATTTATAATATTAATTATTAATAATTATATAAATCTAAATGTATATTCATGTGTGTATTTTTAGATATATGTTGTGAATATGTATATATATATATATATATATATGTGTGTGTGTGTGTGTGTGTGTGTGTGGAGGGGGGCTGAAATGGGTTAAGTGTCTAAGTGTAGGGCATATTACTGGGCTATTCTCGCTGCAGCGAGAGCATTCTTACTGTAGCGAGAGGGCCCTGGGAGGAAGGACCAAAACTGTCGCCTTCTCGCTGTAGTGACAGAGCGACAGTTTGGGGTACATTTATGAGTGCAGTCTCGCTGTAGCGAGAAGGTCTCATTGTAGCGAGATTCTATAGAAATCAGGGTGCAGTTTCATCTGATATTTTCGCTGCAGCGTGAGGGCGTGTCGCTGTAGCAAGGTCCCCTCGCTGCAGCGAGAATATCTCGTATAGCGAGAGTGTCGTGACTAGAAAAGGATTTAAAGGAAGTTAGGATTCGGGGAGGGTTATTTCTCCATCTCCCTTCAAAATTTCTTAGATTCTCTCATTCCCAAACCCTTTTCCACTGATTAAATTGCCTCCAAAGTCGTTCGGGAGATTGATTAAAGGTTAAATCAATGTGGGGAACGCTTAGAGGTGAGTTTTAATGGTTAGGGTTTCGGTTTTTCATCCCCTTTCTCTGTTTTCGTGGTTTCTCTAGGTTCTCATAGTTTCTCCATGTGTTTAAGACGAAATTTGTGAGAGAGAGCACTTCTTGGTGGATTTAGCGTGTGGGACGTCAATCTGAGGTAAGGGGAGACTTTATCCTATCTCAATGTATGAAAATTCTTGCATGTTTTGTCGATTAATGCAATGTGGCTAAGATAGAGAGTAAGAATTGTGTGTTTGATAGAAATTGGTATGCAAATGTGATGTGTGCTGGAATAGTTAGGCCCCGTGGGGGTGATTGTGTGTGATAGAATGTCATTGATTGGTGAATTAATGATATTGTGAATGAATGAAGGTTGTGTGCCGTATATTGTGGATAAAATGTGGGCCCAAGGGCCGTGTAATATAGATGAATATTGGTTACGTGCCATGTAATGTGAAATGAATGTGGGCTGTGTGCTGTATGTAAGCATGATCATTGCATGCGTGAATGGAATAAGTGTGAATGGGCGTGATAGCGCCGTTGTATTGTGTTGTGAATGGTTCAGCGATACACTGGAGTGTGGAAGATGAGGATGGTAGAAACACCTTGGGGAAGAGGGAGAGGTGGTGACACCGACTGTGGAACGGGTGCACCACAAGCCACACACTCTCTTCCTGACTAGCCCTCTGTCCACTATCTTTGTTGAGCGACCCGTGACTGCCCACGTGGCATCCGTGAGGCTGGAGTAACCGGCGACCATTCATGGTGTAAATATGTGATCACAGTGCCACAGTGAATGTGGCTAGTGTGCGTATGCACAAGGTTATGTGTTGTACGTATTAATGTGAAATGCTGCCGATGTCGTGAGTGCATCGGTGTTAAATTGACATGAGCTGTGTGATAATGCTACATGTGATTGTATTTGTCTAATGTATTGGAAATGTGCTGGAGGTGAGACTCTATGTTGATTGTGTGTTTTGATTAGTGTAGAGTACTCACCCTTACATTCATTTTTCATGTAATCAAGACGATCAGCACCGGACTCAGTGAAGAGATGGATGGACTGCTATAGGACTTAGCTTTTATTTTGAAATTATTGTAATTGAATTAGTCTTGTAGTAGTCATTTGATATTAATTTGTAACCCTTCCCTTATTTCAAAGTATTTTATGAAAATTGGTTATTCTAATTTGTGAAATTATTATTAAATTAAAATTAAATTTAAGGTGTTACAAGAAAACCTGAAAATATAGATGGATTTACAGAAAAAAAATTTCATTATTACAGATAGATTTTAGCACCAGTCCGTCTGTAATATGCGCGTCGGTAAATAAATACAGACTTAGACAGAAAAATTTGTCTGTAAATTACAGATGAAAAAATCCGTTTGTAATTTGTTTATGAAATTTTAAAAAAAAATTGTTTTATTTTTTTTATAAACATAATTATTCCTCGTTGTTCCTAATTATCACAAATTTATAAACATAATAAAAACTATAAAATTATATATTTAAAAATCAGAAATTATTTATAAATTCTAAAATTAAAATTTCATTACAAATGAAGAAGTAAACATCTAAAAAAATAATATAAAAAATAAAATAACATTGTATATCACTAATAATCAATGTGATCATCTGCCGAAAAAATATCGTTATAAGTAGAAGGGGAGTCAGAGGAGGAATGACGCATGGAGCTAAAGATTAGTGGTGTTGGAGCTGGTGGAGGAGGAGGAAGAGGTGTAGAGGTACTTTCTCTTATGAGCTCAAAGTATGTATGTATCTGCATATGCTGTCACCTAGTGGAGACCCTTCTGTGGTGGAATCCAACTTAACACACAATAAAATAATACAATTATTATAACATTCACATCAAATAGAGTTATTATTTATATTTTAAATTTAACTTACCAAGTAGACTCATCCCATCTTAAAGTTGGAAGCGATCTCAATGATGCCTGGGTCTGTGACGATTGCTGCCCACTTACAGTTGGGACAACAGTGGATCCCTCATCTGTGTCCTATGTAGAATGAGGTTGTGTGGCATGGGTAGTCGGCAGTGAAGAGGGAGGAGCAACAGACCAAGGGTTGGACACCATGATAAACTACTCCTGTCTCCTCCTATCCTACGAGGTCTACATAGTAGCTGGTGTGGAGGTGGAAGTAGGAGCGGTGGGTGAAGCAGTGTTGCCATGATTAGGACATTGAGCAACACCTTTCTTACCTTTACCTGCCATATCTGAAACAAATATAATACATGTTTAAAGACTAAATACACAAATACACAATATTGTATCAACCTTTTATTTTACATTACACAAATTTCTAATGTAAATTTTGGCAGAATCTCTCCTAATATATGAATATTTTCTTATATTTGTTTGCATTTAATAAAACAAATTTCTAATGTAAATTTTGGTAGAATCTCCCCTAATATATGAATATATTCTTATATTTGTTTAAACTTAATATAACAAAATTTTTCAGCAAAATCTTTCCAATATATTAATATTTCGTTACATTTGTTTACATGTACTTAATACAAAAATTTAAATTTTCTTTACACATAATCTATATATTATATAACAATTTATTAATCAATACATAAAAAACATACACATTATAATCCTAAACCGTTCTAGAGCACATTCCCTTGTAACTCTACAACATGCATATTCTACAAACTTCACAAACACAAACA